CCCGAGTTCTGAGCCTTATGCGAGCAAACATTTGTAATTGTGATAATTGCTTCTTTGTGTTGCTGACAGAAAATTAAACTTCCATCTCAACACTACCCCTGCCTTCTGTGATGTCATGCCTTCAGGCTGTAATAACCTCTTCCCAGGCTGAGGTTAAACCTCAGCATCCTGGTTTGTCCAATGGGGCTTATCAAGGCTCTCCCTTTCTCCCTTGTGGTGTGTTGCATCTCTGATGATCATGGTTGCAAGTAATGGGGCACAGTCCTACTGGGAGAGTGTATTTGAGAGCTCCCTCTGACTCTACATGAAGCTGAGCAGTTCTTCCCATGTCTGTCTTGTGTTCTTTCTGCCTCCCTGCCCTGTACTGTCCCGCTTGTCCTGCCGGGCTGTATGTACTTGCTTTCTGGATGGTTGTGTGTTACTCAGCCATCTGGCCATCTCTCCCCGGCCCAGAGCTCCTGGCCTGCCACTAGCATGTCAAAAACCAGATCTTTCCTGTTTTTCCTTCTCAGCAGGCCCCTGGTGAACCACCACCTTCTCCCCCTGGCTTCAGCCTGTGTTTCTGGCACTGAAAAAGGTCTGGGACCATCTGCTGCTGCTCTCTGCAGTCCCTGTTTGCAGATCTATTTGTCAGCTGTTACCACCACCTTGACAGAGCAGCCTCATGCCAAGATCTTGGTGAAGAAAGGGGAACATTCCTTTTCCTCGGGTCAGTTAGTGATAGTCACTGTTCCCCTGATGGATTTTGCTTGTGCTGTGTCTTAGACAGTAAAGGTGAAAATGGTGCCTTGTTCCCTTGCTGTGTTTGCCAAGAGATAGTGCGTGGGGTCTGTTTGTCCTTTTCAGATTAGTGTTCTTGTCACAGAAGAGTGAGCCAGAGGCAGCTTTTCCTCTGTGCAGGTAGAGAGCTTTTTCTCCATGGTGTCCATCCACAGCTGGGATGATGGGGTGGTGGTTAAAGGCTGACTTCTAGGGGTGATCTCAGGAGATGGACTTGTAAGAACCAACTCTGCTTCTGTTATTTCTGACCTCTGCATATGCTTCTGTCCTTACAGAACTCTAAGTGTGGAGCCTGGCCCACCTCATATGATCTGTACCAGTGCTTTGCTAGCCTTACCAGCCTTGTTTTCACTAATGAGTGACCTAAATTTCTTTCTGCAGTGTAGGCTCATTACCCATGATCCCATTTGCCATGGCAACAGAGAACAGATTATTCCTTTCCTCTTTGCAACAGGTTTTTATGTATTTGAAAACTTCCTCTCTCCCCTTCGCATCCTTCACCAGTTAAGATTAAGCGACCTTGTTTCCTTCAGCCTTTGGGGTAGGTTGTTTTCCAGCCCTTGCTTTCCTCTGGCCTCCTTTCAATTGCTGTGTGTTTCCTTGGGCAGTGCCCAGACAGGGAATGCAGTTACTCCAACTGAAGTTTTATCAGCATTGGTGGACTATGAGATTTCTGTCGTCGTGTCAGGCTGTACTCCAGCATATGTATCCCACTATTGTGTTTACAATGGTATGATATTGACTCCTGTTCTTCCTTGTCTGCACGGCCATGGTGTAACTGTACTGCTGAGGGTTTTCCTCTCAGCAAGAGTGACAGAGCCCAGGTTTACAGGGAGAAATTGGGAAGCACTTGCTGACCTGGTCCTCTACATGCTCCCTTTGGTGATGCTGAGTCCTGTTACTCCAGCCACCTCTGGCTGCAGGTATGAGGGCAGCCTAACATGGTGGGAGAGGTGAGCATGCCTTTCCCTACACCCATTGACACAGACAGGGCATCGCTCAGGGAAAAATCACTTTTAATGTTAATATCCCTGTTGCGTTCAGCCTCTACAAAAACTACTGACTGGTCTCTACCAACCTGAAGGCTCGGCGTGAGCCTCCCTCCCACAGGCAGCCATGTCTGGAGAGGAGGATGGTTCAATGCAGCGTGGAGCAGCCCTCCCCAGGCAGGGGGGCTGCACTTGGCGGTGAGCTGGGCTCCCTGCCCTGTGCCTAGCAGGGGTTTCGGAGCGCCGAGTTTTGTTGATGGTCAGCGTGCGCAAGGTGCTGCAAGTGTGTCACTAGGCACGGCACAAATGTGTGCTGGGGCCCTGAGCGGCATGTGGCACCCCCCAAATAGCACATTCTCCTCATGGTGGAGACTACATCTGTGCAGCACCCAGCACTGAGGGGCTCCAGGCCTTGCTGGGATGGGGATGGTAAGTGATGCTAAGGGCAGTTCTGGGTTGGGCCGCCCCTCCTTGCTCTGCCCGCAGGGACACCATGCCAGATACTTCTCCACTCTTCCTTTATCCACCTCTTCCTTAAGATCAAATGCTACCAGGGAGCAACTGGGCAAGGGCCCTTGGGCTCCAGCTAGTCAGTCCAGGACGCCTGGGTGGTTCAGCCCCACCAGGGGCACATCCTTTCTCGCCAAGGAGTGGGGCTCTGCACAAGTCCTGCAGGGAGGGGCGGCACGAGCGGGCAGGCGGGCGGGCAGGCAGCGGGCAAGTGCAGACCTGCTGCTGTTGAACATGAGCCTCGTGGCAGGAGACCCTCATGCTGCAGATCTGAAAGACACAAGCAGAGCCTGGTGCAGGCGTCCAGGGCTTGCCCTCCCTGACCTGCTGCTCCTCAAGCCTTGCAGCATTTTCCTAGCCAGGCTCAGTGATACTGGTGCAGACACACATTTCTAACTGTGAAAACATGAGTCAGGGTCTCAGTCTGTCTCCAACATCCATTCCTGCCCTAAGGATGGTTGGAGTCTGCTGCTACATCCTTTGATCCTGCTTCAGCCCACAGCAACATATGTACCTGCATGGGCTCCAAACCACATTGTTTGGTTTTGCCACTTGAAACTGAATAGCCTTTATGATATTAAAACTGAGCAACCTCCCATTTGCTGGGGAAGGAATATTGCACAACAGGCAGGTTCCTACCTCCAGTCTGCATGGGCCTCCAGCACTTTGCTCCGGCCACACTGCTGCTCAGGTGATTAACGGGGTGAGATTGGAGCTCTCCTCTGGTGTCTTCTCACCCTCCGGTGCCGGCCGCTGTTTGCGCCCACCTGCAGCAGCAAGGGTGCCTAGGGCTGGGGTGCTGGGGGCCAAGGGTGCTCAGGATGGGGGATGTATAGGGTTGAGCCAGGACCACATGGCTGGCTCTGCCTGAGCTAGCCCTAGGTGCAGTTTTGCCTGCTGCTGGGGAACTGGACTGCTCCCCTGCTCCCTGCCAGCCCCATGCAGGGTGTCCCCAGCATGAGGCTGGGGAGCAGCTGACCCGGGCAGTGGGGTCCTGAGGCAGAGCTCTCCCGTGGGTGCTCCCTCTCTGGGTTAGTCACTCACTGAGGGATCTCAGCAGCCTCCTGCCCATTGTCTCCTCAGAGCTGCTTGGCGATGAGGTGGTCCCAGCCTCTCTGCCCGGGGATTCTGCCTCCAGGACGATGTCACAGCACTCACTGTCTGCAAAAGCCCAGCGTGGCTGCAGCACCCCGGGGCACCACAGCCCTTGCCACCCCCAGGGCTCTCTGTGTGTGTGTGTGTGTGTGTGTGTGTTTGTCCCGGCCAGACTCACTTTGCCGCTTGCTGTTCTCCTCGTTGTCAGCCAGCTCCTCCTGGATGAAGGGGATGCCCTCCATGCGCAGGAATACTGACTCACTGGGACTGTGCTGCCCCTCGGAGTGGCTGCCTGCAGGGACACAGGGCAGGCAGGCATGGTGGCAGGTGCTGTGCCCTGGGGCAGGACGCGGCATGATGCCAGCCACAACAGCAGGTCCCAGTGCCAGGGACCCGCAGGGGACACAAGCACATGGTGATGAGGAATTACATGCCTGCACGGTTGCATTCACGTGCAGGCGCAGAACATCTGCAGGTGTGTGCATGCAAAAGCCCATGTGCCCCAGTCTACATGCAACTGCATCTCAGCGGTGGTGTGCCCGTCATGCCATCAGGTCCCAGCACGGACCCCCCCAGGGGACATGTGGCATTGGCCTGTGGCAGGGAAGGGGTGCTGCTGGGTGACTCACACATAACGCTGTTCCTCTCATTCAGGAGGGTGGTGGGGTCCTCCTTGGGCGTCTGTGGGGTTCCCCGTGTGGTTGAGGCCTTGGTTGAATCCCTGTCGAAGGCCTCCATGTCGGGGGACTGGGGTGAGCTGTCCATGCGGCTGGCCACCAGCGCGTTGTGGTACTGCTGCCGGGTGACCTGACACACAGACATGCACACCCAGCTCAGTAGGCACCAAGTCCCACCAGGACACCCTGGGAACTTGGTGGCAGTAAACCCCCAGGTAGCAGGAGTGGGGGGACTCCCCGGCACCCACTGGGCATCCACCAGGCTCTTGGGACAGAGCAGGTCGAGTGGGTGCCTGAGCAGGGGGTGGCCGGGGTGGGCCAGTCCCTGCCAGCTCAGCAGTACCTTAACAAACTGCACATCACAGAGGATGTGCACGGAGTAGTCGGGCGTGTAGACGTTGTTGCTGCTGCTGTGGAGCTGCGTGGTGCTGCCCCCATAGTCGTTGTGCTCCCGGTTGGGGGACTCAGAGCGGTTGAGCCCGCTACACCGTGACGGTGACCTGTTCACTGCGGGAGGAGACAGCAGAGAGGAAAACGCTCACTCTCGTGCATGGTGCTGCTTGAGCCCCCAGTGCCACACAGGGCCAGGGTGGACCCATCACCTCCGGCAGCTGCTCCCCACACACATCAGGGCTGGCAGGGGCCTAAGGGGACATGCAGTGGGGGTCTTCCTTGGTGCATGCTGGCAGCAGAGGCTCTGAGCCATGCCAGCCCCATGCAAACCAAAGAGACCAGGCAGGCAGGCGTCCGACCTGGCGCTGGCTGCAGAGGTTAGGGCTGCTGCCTGCCACCTGCCTGCCACACCAGCTGACAGCTCTCCTGCTAACACAGGCCTTCTGCATGGCATTCGGCACAAAATCTCCTGGCTGCAGCTGGCAGCCCACGGGGTTTACTTAACCTGCCTCGAAGGCACACTCCTGTCCACCCCAACTCTGACAGAACAGGAGCAGAGGCTGCCATGGCAAGCTGGCCCATCACTCACATTGACTGATGGCCTCTGACACACAGTGTGATGGATTTTGTCTGCTCAGTGATTTATTAGGGAACAAAGGCAGCTTGTTCCTTGCACGGGTGATGTCAACATCTTGCTGACTTTGTTCTGCTGCTAAGACGCCCTTCTATTACCCGGATTGCCAGAAAGCAAGCAAAGCAGAGCAGTGTGCATGCAGGGCTGAAGGTAACCATGGTCAGAAGCACAAAGTAGCAAGAAAACCCAAGCACCAAGTGCAGGAAATTACAGAACTGCACATCAAAGAAAGCCTGAGCCATCCATGGCTCCCCCCGGTCCCCATCCCATTCTTCCTGGGGTTTGCATGTTACTGGGGAGGCTGCAGCAGGGACAGGGCTGCTGCCCCACCTCGGTCACCCATGCTCCTACCAGTGAGGGTCTTCCCAGGGCAGGGCACCATGGGTGCTTCTCTCCTGGTGCTGCTTGGCATGTGGAGCAGAGGGGGCTTGGTGCATCATGCACAGGGAGCTGGAAAGAGCCTGGCACATGCAGATGTCCCTGCCCAAAGCTATGCCCTGTTACCTGGAGAGCCAGCCAGGGAATCCCCTCTGCTGAAAGCGAAGGTTCGGGACACTGAGACAGGCACTGCAGAGAGAGGGAGACGGAAGGATGGAGGGGACAGGGGGAAGGCAAGGGATGGAGGTGAGGGTGAGGAACAGACCAAGACAAAGAATGAGAAAAAGAATCATGTGCCAACAGCCCTGGCTGAGCTACCACCACTGCCTCCAGTAACCCTTCCCAACCACTCTTACACTCTCCTGCTTCTGCTCCGGGGAGGCACTTGCCAGCTCTGGGGACAGGGACACAGACCTGAATGCTGTAAATCAACAGGCTGCTCTGCAACAAGGTAAAAGGAGATGCGGCTGGGGGGACCAGCTCCTGACAGGCCTGTCTGCACAACCACACATCTCCCTAGAGCCATGGTGTGGGCACAAAGCATCTTCCATCAACTGAATGCTGGCATTGTGCTCCAGCCCTTTGCCAGCCGCTGACAGGAGAGGGGACTTTGTGGTCAGCTTGTGCCACCTGTGAGGTTGGTGGAAGCTAGCCCAGGTCACTCTGCTTGGCATCTGGGATGCTTCTGTGTGTGCAGGCAGGTGGCAGAGAAGGAATGTGCTCTGCAACAGCCCCTGCCTCCACAGAGCCCCAGAGGTGCAGGCAGGGGCCAGCATGATGCAAAGCAAAGGCATTCATGCCCGCTGTCTGCAGCTCCCTGCAAGGCCCTGGGTCTCAACAGTCTTGGGGCAATGCCGAGAAGAGCCACTGGAAGCTGCTCCACATGGAAACTGCAAGAAGCCAGGACTCTGTGTCTGGGGATGCCTGACCCATTGCCACAGAGAGGGCAGATCACTGAAAATTCACTTTCCACGTTTTATTTCTACGGGTTACAGCAGCAGTGACAATTTCAAGGGCAGGCATTCCCCCTCCCTGTGACTCGCTGTCTGCAGGGAGCTGCTCTGCTGCCCTCCACAGTGTCCCTGGGCAATGTCACAGGGGTGCAGGGCTCCATGGAGGAACATGGAGAGACCGGCACACAGCCTGAGCGATGCACTCGTTAACACCTCCTGATGCCTCATCTTTGCTCTCACTGCTGGCAGTGCCCACCTCGAAAAAAGCAGCGGGAGATGTGAGCCAGCTGGCTTCCAGCTCCCTCCTCCAGCCATGGCCATGCTTCCCCTAGCTGCCAGCCCTCCTGCCTGAGGCACACTGCCCTCCTGCCAGGCACTGTGCCCGCAGCATTGCTGCAACACTCTAGGAACCATCTGCTGCCTGTGTGATTAATGTTTTCAAATTGCTTCAAAGGTAAAACCCCTAGGAAGGTTTCCCTGCAGGCCCTTCCTGATCTCCCTGCTCTTCCCGCAGTAACTCTTGTTCTGTGTTCTCCCCTGGATTGAAACCTTCTGCAAATAAAAGTCCAAGCAAAGGGACTAGTATGAAGCACTGCCCAGAACAACCTGACCCAGCCAGGAGCAAAGGACAGGTTGATAACCACTAGTGCTCGCTCCCTGCTCTCACTGCCTGACCCGCTGCAGAGCTGGTGATGACGGGTCTCTGCCACCGCACCCCTGCCCCAGCCACCACAGCCAAAGATCACCTGGCAATAAAAGAGTTGCATAACAACAGTTAATTAATAACAAATTTTAAATGCTCAAGGGTTAATGTCTGATTTCTCTGCTGTGACACACTGCTCAAACTCATTTCTGCTGGGCTTTGCTTCAAGGAGGAAGGAGGATGCCAGCCAGACAAGAGAGATACCCTGTGACCTCTGCCTCCCACCATGCCTCCTCGCTGGCCAGGAGTGCAGCACCACACCACATTCCGCGGCAGGCAGGAGTGGCTGGATGGCAGAAAACACCTTGTGACACAGCACCACGCATGAGCGCAGGGAGCACTGGAGCCCTGAGCAGCAGCATCCTGGCAGGTGTCACTGTAGAGAGGTGTGGCCGCACCGACACAGCCCCCACGGTGGCTCATGCCCTGCCTGTCCCATGGCCTGCAGGCAGCACCCGCTGCCTGAGCCCTGGTTGGGGCTCTGGGGACAGTCATCGAGGACATGGGGACATTGGGCCATACAGCAATGTCCTGGGGGAAAATGGATGCTTTCTTTATTCCCTCTGTCCAAACCAAGCAAGCTGTGGACACACAGAGGAGCAGGACTGCACACTGCAGCGTTAATCCAGCAGTCCACGAGCCAGCCTTTTGAACAGAAGCAGGCAGGCAGCAAGAAATAGGTGAACCTTAGAGCTGCATGCAGACTGGAACGCATAGGAGTGACAGCCACTCTCCCTTCTCTCTCCATGACATCCCTTCCTACATCTTCCTAAAGGTTGAACTTCGTGGGTTCTTGTTTTGATTAGGCACACAGAGCATCCTTGGCTTACCATCAGCACTGCAACATCTGGGGTTTGGGATGAGGCATGTGCCAGGCTGGTGGTGGGCAGCACCTCTGCCTGTTCCCAAGCCATGAGGCACTAAAGGTTTGCAGGGGTTATCAGCAAAGAAGGGGAAGGCTTACAGACTCCCCTGATCAGAGCTCCCTCATAACTCCTGCAAGCAGGGGATCTGCTCATTAACCCATGAGCTCTGCAGGTAGGGAATTTACTGGGACTGGGGCATCTACTTTTAACTCAGCTAATTTCCCCCACCTGCGTGTGCAAACAGTTCACAGATAAACTGACCCATCTCTGCAATTCCCAACCAGTTCCTGTGCCTCTAACATGGGACTCCTGTTCAGCTCATGCTCCAGACCTTGGGAATCCAAATGGGCCCAGTGGTGTTACACTGAGACCTAGATGCACCATGCCAGAAGTCGCAGGGTTTACTGCTCCCATCCACAAGGGCATGCTGCTGCTCTTGGGCAGTGTCCCTTGCAGTGCCCAGCCATGCTGAGATCCTCCCGCAGGGATCCAGTGTGTGGCTGAAACCTCAGAAGTCCCTCTGCAGGGATTCTGCTCCATCAGCCCCTCAGCTCATTGTTTCTCCACCAAGTTTTTTAAAGGGAGTGACCTTGGTGCAGAGCCTGAGCTGCTCTGTGTGGGGTGTAAACCCATACCTCCTCCAGCCAGCCAGTGCTGCCAAGGAGAGATTTTAGAGGCCAAGCCTGTCCCAAAACACTTACATAGGAAGGAGGATCCAGCCAGGCTGCCCACTTTCCGCATGTCGTTATCTGAAATGACAGCTGGTGGTGTAGGAATTGCAGAGAAAGGGCTCCCCCCTGCCCTGCGCCCCACAGCAAGGCCACCACATCCCACGGCCAGCCCCTTCTCCTGGCCACTAGCCAGCTTAGCCCTGTGGAGGCCGCAGAAGTGAAGGCAGGGCTGGAGGGAGCCCACAGAGCTCTTACCTGATGAAACGACAGCCATGATGGCAGGGACACCGTAGTAAGTGAACGCCCCATTCTCAAACCGCAGCCCTTCCTTGCCGACCTCCACCTCCACTTTCCCCTGGAAGAAGGAAAACTCTCTCAGACAGGCACCTCACAGTCCTTGCCACTGACCCACCCAGGGCTGCAGGGATCCCTGCTGCTCTGTATGAGAAGATGGGCATCTCTGCTGGCAGAAGTAGCCAGAGCAAGGCAGCAAGGAGAGCTGGGCCACCTCCCGCCACCCTCTGCTTGCCACTGCTCCAGGCACCTGCAGGATGAGGATGAAGTAGTCAACGGGACGGTTGCGCTGGTAGAGGTAATGCTCTGCTGCCTTCTTGTTCTTTCGGTCATACTTGAGCTCCTGGATGACATTGGGGTGTTTCAGGAGCCGCAGCAGGATCTTCTCGGAGAGGTATGGCAACTTGAAAGGCTCCACTTCTAGAGGGGAGGCAACACATGCTCACTCAGTGGGGCCAGGGCTGCCACGAACCCCTTGTCCTCTGAGCTGCATGGCCTCGGCCTCAGCACCACACTGCACATTGGGGAGCCAAACGCAGACCGATGATGGTGGAGCAGCAGGATGCCCAGGGTTGGGGTCCAGGTAGGAGGAAACTGCTTGCTTAGGGGAGGCCCGACCCAGGAACAGCTCAGGGATGCCCTGCAGGGCTGGCGCTGCTGCAGGGAGACGTGGGGCTTGCACAAGGACAAGGGTACCTGTTGCCATGAACCGATGCGTAGCCAGAAGGAGCTGTGGGGAGATCTTCACCTTCATCTCGCTGTCTGAGAGCCTGAAGATGGAGAAGTCTTGGGGCTTGCGTCCCCGGTGGGGCACCCGTTCCTTCTTCCGATTGTCCGCTGCGGGGCAGAGAGCAGAGTAGTCGCCCACCTGCAGCAGCCACGAAGCCACCGCAGCTGCAGGGCCCTACACCACATGCACACATATAGAAAGAGGCACATCTTGCTGCACCCAGAGCAGCAAGGTGCACAAAATGTGCCATGAATCACAGCCTTGGGAGCCACTCCTTGAGGAGGGAGCAGGGTGGCAAAACATGGTTCAGGAACAAGTCCTGAGTTGCCTCGGCTGGGTGCACCACACAGAATTGGAGAGAAGCTTGGGAACCACCCATGGGCACTTCAGGCCTAACACAGCGTCCCCAGGTCAGGCCCTGCCCAACCACTGGCTGCTTGATGCTTCTCTTATCTTGAGCATTCAAGACTCCCTGACATCTGACCAGCACCTTTCCATCATTCCTGTTTTTCCCACCATGACTGTGAGTTGCTCTGTCCTGTTTCCTACCCACATGCCTGTCTGTCTGTGCGGGCTCCCACCCTGGCTCCTGCAACCGCAGTAGCTGCTCTGGGACACTAACTGTACAGATCCGTCTCATCCAGGATCTCGGACTTGATGATCTCCTCAATGACATCCTCCAGGGTGACAATGCCCATCACCTCGTAGAACGGGTCTCCTTCCCCTTCATTGTTCACTCGCTGCACGATGGCCAGGTGGGACTTTCCTGCAGGGGGAGAGCAGAGTGGCAGTGAGACCCTCACCCCTGGCAAGAGGGGTCCCCAGCACAGTGGGCTGGCAGGTGGACAGGGCTTGGTGAGAAGCACAGATCACAGCCAAACCTCAGAAGCAGCCATTGTCATTCAAACCCACCCCAATCATGCTAACCCAAGGAGAAGGGCTGGACACACAGCCCAGCCTAACAAGGCTGATACTCCTCAGGCTGACTTCTAGGTGTCACAGGACTCTGCCTGGCTCTTTTTTAGGGCCCCTTGCTTTCTTTACCCAGGCAATCTACTGCAAGTCACTCCATTTAGCTCCTTGACAGCCTCCTGTGCAGGACTGAATTGTACTTTGTGCCAGCTGCTTCTTGCTTACCCTCAGCTTCATTGGCATAACTAACAGAACAAGGAGACAGCATCCTCCAACACAGAAATGTGAGTGTGTCCCTGGGCTCTACTGGTTTCCCTCATCCTCCTGGTGTTTTCCCATTCTGTTGTTAATTATCTTTCCTATCAATTGTCAGGAACAGCTCCCCTACTTCTTTCTATCCATCACTGTCTGGACTGATCCTAAAGCTTTTCTCAGAATACAGGCAAAGCCTTCAGCTCCTCAGAACAGCAGCTGGTTTTAATGCAGAAATGCACATGTTTATTTGCAGCTTTCAGTCCAGCTCCTGCAGAATTCTTGGGTGAACCATCTGGATGCAAAGGCTGAATGCTTTTCAAGCCATCAGCTTGCGTGTGAATGTCTTCTTCAAACCCTGCCCCTGACAGCACCTCCTCTCCAGCACCTTAAACAAGCAGACTGGGACCAGGACCTTCAGCTGCAATGACGGTGACTCCTGCTTGGAAGTCACAGTGTCTCGATTACAGATTCAGCTTCGTCACTTGCCCCAGTAAGCTGGCAGCTCTGCTGACACATTCCCAGGCTTCTTGTTCTTGGCATACTAGAAACATCGCTATTTGTTTTCACATGTCCAGCTCTCTGTAAGCTGTTTTGACTTGTTCAGCTTCTCCCCTTCTTTATTGTCTGCTCTGATCTTATGCTCCTGCTCAGTAGCTTGACCAGAACCCAACTTCCAAGCTACAGACAACTTCTGGATTTCTAGCTCCAGTGTATTCTTGGACCTGCCAACAAACAGCAGATTTTCTTACTGCCCCTATGGTTTCGAAGCTGCTCAGCAATGCACACAGGTTTTGAACCTCTAGTTTTACATAAAATATTAAAAATGTCCTTTGTTGGTCCCACAGCCAACAACTTTCCCTCCCTCTGTTTGCTTTGCAGCCCTGGGGTCTCCTGTTGCAATGCCTGCACAAACCCAACTGTACTGTGGGCACTGCAGGGACTTTCAGAAACCTGCAAATGCATATTTTCCCCATGGGCCTGGAGCTGAGGTCCTTGAACAGCAACGGTCACACAAAAGGGGGGCAGGCCCCCTCTGCTATGCAGCTATCTCTGCATCTTCTTCTCCCATAAAGGAAGCCTCCCCAACAAACTCGCCTGCTGCTCTGGGCAGCAGTGTTTATCTATAAAGATGCAATAGGGGTGGGCTCCTGCCTGCTGCACTCTCCTTGCCCGCCAGTGCCTTCTGGCTCATCCCCACAGAGGGACAGGGATGAGCGCATCCAGGGCAGCCTGGCAGTCCCACCAAACCCATCCTGCTGGGGACCATGCGACCTTCAAATAACCCTGCCCTGGATTTGAGATGAGCAAATGATATTTCTCAGCCGAAGATCAGCACTGTACATTTCTCACAGCAAAGCTTGGGCATTTTCCACAGTATAAATTCCCTCCTCCTCATACCAAGCTTTTATTGCAAGATTTCAGAGAGCAGCTCACTGCCTCCCACGCCTACAGAATTAGAAATGAGAACATAACATTGCAGCAAGTAGCACCAAGATGCACTTTAAAAAAACAAATCAATAGCCCTGGGGCACTGAAAATTCAGCATGTTCTTTGGACCAGGCTATTTCACTCCTTTTTGTACACGCGTTTGTGCATCTTGTCTGTTCAGTGGGTAATAAAGCAATACGACTTGAGACTTAAAAAGAAAAAAAGCAGCGGAGTTGGCCGCAAGACAGCAGCAACAGCTACGTTTCATCTTAGCAAAGTCCAACTTTTGAAAATGTCTCCTTGCCAAACCCCGCTCCCAAACACCGGGGCCATCTGGTCTCCTACAAGTCCTCGGGTGAGAGAGAAGAGGGGAGAAGTTATTTCTTTTGGCTAAAAGCTTGTTGTTAATGACATTTACATGCAACCCAAAACCACCGAGCCCTTACAAAAAGCTTAGGCACTACTTAAAGGCAGTCAGAGAGTAATGGAGGCAATTCTTTTTTTGGCCAAACACCTACATCGACACTGTAATTTACTCTGGAGCAGCCTCAAAGAAATGTGATTCCAGCTCCATGTTCACATAGCGGCAAATGAGATTATTCAGAAATAACCCAGCACCATTAGTCTTGGAGGAGACCCATGTTTCATTGTGATGGGGGCAGAGCCAGGAGGGCTATTAGAGTGCTCAAGAGTTCTTTATTTTCACAGAAAATAAACACTTGTAGACATGCTATAACCCCCCATGTTTAGGCTTCCAAGCTAACACCCACATTAGAGATGGGGCAGGTACCCACCAATGGAAAATTGTTGTAATTCATGTGGTTGCTCTTGGCCCACACTGAGTGAGCTGATCGTAGTCCCTGCCCAGCCAGCTGATCACAAAACACCCCAAAGCCTGCTGCCATCCCTTGCAGAGCTGGGTGCAAATGACTGCTGCTCCCAGCTGGCCCCCACTCAGACTTGCCCTGATCTCCCATCTGAGGAACATGAGACGGTTTACAAAGTCTTTCCCCTCAACACGGTTGTGTCCTTGGTCTCCTCCGATCGCTTTTTTTAACAGACCCTATATTTCTGGCAGCAGAGGGGGGCAGGGGTTTGCTGCTGCCCTGGCTGTATGGTCATGGCTTAGGGATGCTGCCAAGCTCAACTGTAGTCCCCTGCCACAGCCCTGGGAGCTGCTATACTTGCATAAAGGAAACGCAGTGGCTTTTACAGCAGGTATGAGGGCAGAATTTTATGAGGTGGAAGTAATGTCCAAGGGAGGGTGGCACAGGAACAGACCTGGGGATATCAGAGGAGTCACATTCTCTTTTCCAGCTGTTATCATGAAGGTCTGTTTCAGCGGGATTACAATAGAGACAGATAAATCACTTAAACAAAACCCCAGACTTGATCTAAACCAGCTTTAAGATCTGTAAAACTGACTCCAAAAACCATGCTATTGTAACTGTTGCTTGATAGCTCAAATGAAATGAATTATAAGGGTGAGCTGCTTCCCCACTAGCAAGCTGTCACATGTGAATTTTACAGGGCTATCACTGATGCAGGAAAGCACAGTGAAACACTTGAGAATCATCAAAGCCTTGGTTTGGCAAATGCTAGAACAAATGGGCAATTAACTTTACTTGTGCAAATAGCTTCACCGGCCTCCGCAGGACTCCTCTCGCACAGGAAGTCTATAGGTGATTAAGTGTCTGCTCAGCATGGGATACAACTGTACTAAATTCTTTATGAGCTACATGAAATCTGCTCTTTTCAAACAGCAGCTTCACTGGAAAGTTAATGCCTCAAAATGCTAAATTACAGAGCTAATATAAACAGCTGAAAGCTTCCGGATGGAGCAAGCATCTGAACAGATATCTAAAGCTTTTATGTCCATTTTTAGGAGCCTTGTTTTTCATAGGTACCTAAATGACCTTGAGCTCATAGATCCACCTCAAAGCATCCTCCCTGATGGGAGAACTGGGTCTGAACATATGGAAATGCCTTTACTTGTGGGAAAGAAAGTGCTGTTGGCTGCAAATATAGCCCAGACTACTTCCTTATCATTTTTTTTATGTAGGTGCTCTGTCAGAGGAATGTTAAAGATGCTTTACCCTTTGTCTCTCGTTCCATGGGATAAGCATTCTGAGCATGAAATTTATTTTCATGAATTTTATGGTAAGATCTAAAGCTGTTACTAGGAGATCAAAGGTACAGACACAAGGCATGAACCATTTACAGCTACAAAATGGAAGGAAAAAAAAGAAAAAAAAAAGAGTAATTGGTAGATAAGGTTGATTTGTGAAACAACCGTGATGTAATTGAAATCTGTTTTCTGTGTGCTTTTCTTCAGAGCTCTTCTCTGGGCCAGGGGCTGTGAGCATCTCCACGCCTCCTTGCAGACCTGCATCTGAAGTAGGTAGGACCATGATCTGAACTTCTTGAACTGCAACCATGCATGAGAGTGCTCTTGTATTGCCACAACTCGGCACTAAGGGTGAAACCACACACCTGAGGAGTTGCACCCAGAGGCAATGCATATCTACACCTAAATAGGGGGTAAATAACCAGGAGGGCTGCAGGGGCACTCATCTTTAGGGGGAATCAGAGCTATGTCAAGGGAAAACTGTAAATCCTAATCTAATCCAGACCTTCCTGAGAGATGAGAACTTCACTGGTTCTAGCAGAATACAAAAGCCTTTCTACTACTCCGCTTTAGTGCTTTTTCTATTCCTAAGGAAAACTGGGGAAAAGATGGACTATTGGGAATAGCTGATGTATTACCATTGACAAAACAGATCAGGAGGGTAAAGGGAAGATTAGAGGGGACACGGAATCTCATCTTCCATCTGCTGTACAACAGCGTTCTGACCTCCTGGGTATGACCCTGCCTGCCCACAAACGGTGGGTCCCCTTGCATGTTACCTGGAGCCTAAGGAAGCCTACAAGGATTTCTGAAGCTAAAAACTTTTAAAGAGCCAATGCAAAACCATTTTCATTGATGTCTGTAGCACAGGTCACTTTAATCTTTCCCACAGCTCAGTCTGAAGGTGCCTTTGACAGCTCCCAAGAGGGATTTGGCTGGCTGGGTGCCCCCTCCTCCAAGGACACAGCTCCCTTCTTGCTTTGCTGAACACCTCTCTGGAGCAGGCCTGCTCCTGGGCTTGCTGGGGTGGGGTAAAGCAGCCCAGGGTTCATACAGTAAGATTTAGCAGTTTTGTTTTGAGGGAGAAAACAAAGTAATGTTTCGGGCAGAGTTGCAGAATGAGTCACTGAAACTATCTTTTATGTATCAGCACCTCACCCACTCTCAGCCTGGCAATCGCCCATGTACAGGATAGTTCCTGGGTAATAGCCTGCTCCTTAACCCATATGACTGGCTGGGGACATCACTGCTTCAGCCCATCAAGGTGCTCAAGATAGTGGCTATAACACTTGCAGAAATCTCTTGAAGCCTGATTTAAATTTCAAGCCATGCTTTGTGCTTGCAATGACTAGAGGCTCAGAGAGACAGCAAGAAGAGCAGCTGAAACTGTACTGATCCCAGTTCCTGGCAAGTGTAAGTACCTTCTCCAGCCACTTTCAATTTGAAGAAGTCTAATAGAGGCTGTCGAGTATTTTGAAAAGCAAAGACAGACCCTAGGGCAGAGAGCTGTCCTCTGCAGGACAGGCTGTTTTCCCTGCTAAGCCAGGAAGTTTGGTTTTGGAGAATTTACTTTTAGTAACTCTTAAAAGATGCCAAACCACAAATGGCTAATTTGAGTTGCACCTCAGCCTTGGCCCCGCTGCAGGAAAATGAACATAAGAGCAAATTTCTACTGTTCATCTGACAGAGAAAAATTACTTGCTGAAAGATGACACTGCTGTATATAGATTCCCCCAGGAAATTACTCAACAAAATCCATAAATGATTTGAGGAATCAGATAAGACTATGACTTCTCAAAGGTACCACAGACAAGGAGGTGGATCTCATGGAGGAATTCCCCATGAGGAGTTATATAACAGGACTGAAGCTGCAACATGCATTGCTTTGGCTGTCTTCTAGGGATGGGGGAGAAACTGACTGCATCGCTCAAAGCATTTCACACTGAATGAATGAATGAACCTTTCCTTCTAACTCCATATTCCCAAGGTGAAGTTTATCCTGCTTGGACCTCAACTGCCCCTCTACAATGCTTTAGCTTGTTAAATATGGTGCAGTTATTTCTCTGGTCTATTAGGTGTTTCCTCCTGGGAGCCTAGAATAAAGCCAGGTACTCTGAGATTTCCCAGTACAAATTGTTAAGAAATTGTCTCCAAATTTTTTCACTCCTTCAGCAGTTTCAGCTTCTTTCAGGCTGCCAGTGGCAAAGTTACTACACTGGTATGTATTTTCTTATTTCTAGAGAAGAGGGGACGTGTTTTGTGCAGTGTCCTCCACTTAGCACTTTTACGTAAATGCTGCACAACTATACACGCCTTTTATAATGACCCTAACTTGCCTGAAAAGATAGCAAACTGGGTGTTCAGGCCTCATTATTTCTGAGTTCATTCCACTGAGTTTTGATGAGAAGATAAAGCCATCTTCTAGCATAAGTATTTCCTTCCTTCAGCTGGACCTGTCTCATGCTGCTGTAATATTATTCTTCAGTACAATTTTTGCAGCTGCCCTCCTCTTTCGGGCTGTGGGCTGAAGTCCAAGCTATCCTCTTGCAGGGCCCCCAACCCCCTGCCCCTGTTTGCAGCCTTCTCTGGGTTTTCCCCAGTTCCCATTAGTGGCCCCAGTTTAACCATCTTTCTCCAATAACTGGTGCTAAAAGAGACAGCAAATGATGCCAGCAGCAGCAGGTTTGTGAAGGAGCAGATGTGAAGGGTCTGACCAGTGCTGCTGTGATGGGGAAGGGCCAGGTTTTGTCACCCAGGAGCTCACAGCTGCTCTCGGGTGCTGTAACCACGCTGGGCCATTAGCTCTTTAGGTGCTACTGAAGCATACATTACTATTTTCATACAATTTAAATGTTTTGGCAAGTTGATGCTACAGAGTGCCCTTCCCCAGGTCCATGAAGGATAATCCCACCTACACAGGATCCTGCTGGGAGAGAGGGGATCTATGACATATATGGATTAAACTCAAGGCAAACATCAATGCATCTTAATGGAACTGAGCTCAAACGAGGTTAGGTGAGCATACCTAGAAACCAATGAAGGAAAATTTCCACTCAAACCCTGCTATAAAATATCAGAGAGGAAAAAAAGCTGATTATCTTTATAGCTAGAACAGCACAATGAGAGAAAAGAAATGCATCAGGTAAACAAGGATAATACAGTGTGATACTGGTGAGTAGGAGGAAAAGCGAAGTGCTGCCAGAGGTGTGAGCAAGGGTTCCAAAGTGCTGTATTTAGATCATTCCTTGACATTTTCAGTAAGAAAGAACAAATGTTTGTGTACTGTAGCAAGGAGCTCTGGCAATGAAATTATGTTACTCATATATTATGCAAAAAAATTACATTATGGGTATAGTGGATGTGACAGGACATTAATCATTAGTGAACAGATCAGAAGTATACACTGCTATCCAGGAAAGAAAGATACAAAATGTGATGGGTTATTTTGTATAAACACTGTAATAACAAAAAGAAATAAGGGATACAAAAACTGTTTGAGTTAACCATAGGAGAAGGAAAAGAAAGCTGTCAAGCTTTCTCTAGAAGTCTGTCAGGGACCTAAGGAGCTGGAGGTGGTTATCAGTGCCCATCCTTACTGAAGACTTTCATTTCCTAGGAGACTGGGCCTTAGGAGAGGGAGCATTTGCTGTCCTGCAGGCATCTTGGATGTGTGAAGCAATGAATGACTTCATTAAGCACTCTCTGAACCAACAAGCAATCAGCCTACTCTCTAATTAGTGGAGGTGTCACAGAAGACCTGGCCATGGAAAGCACTGGATCAAGCAAGATATTTCACCATAATTCAAACGGACACAGAAAAGGAGACAGTGATTAAGGTTCTTAATTACAAATGAGAAGTCTTTATTTTAGAAATTAAATAGTCAATTGAACAGGGCTGAAACGGCAGTGGATGGGACTGACGGTAGTTGGGAGTGAATGTCTGTCACAGTGCGGGAGCTGCCACAGGAATCTGTATTTGAAAAGGTAAATGAGAGTTTAGGAAGCGTTCAGGGCTGGGCTGGGGTGTAGCTGTCTACAAACACAGGGTGCTGGGGATGTCCAAGTGCCTGCAAATAAGGGAAAGATGAATCATAAGAAAACAGCAACACCTGGGAAAGTGAACATTTTGGGGAAGACCTGTAATTGCTAAACACCATGATGAGTTAGATACTAAAACCAAAGCGAGGCTTTTCAGACATGTAATTTGGAAAACACAAGAGAAATTAGTTGGGAACAGAACTAAGTTTTAGGGAGAGCTCCACATAGGGGCTGTAGCAAAATGCCCCAGAAGGCCATGATGGCAAACAGATGTAAGGAAGAGTCTGAAGCAAAATGCCAAGAGTTTAATGGAGCAAAGATGAAGAAGGATGGATAATCTTAATTTGAGATGAGGACTAGGGCAGATAGCAAGGCTTGTTAACACACCTGTCAGCTCAGGGAGTGACACACAAAACATCTCCGTTTGGGCAGGGCAGAGAGGATGGCAAGCAAAGGGCAGCGAGCTAAGCAACCACAAGTCCATTTCTATAGGTCTATTGATCCATAGGGTACCAGGCTATAGGGGGTACCTGGAGGGGGAAATAGTTGAATGCATCAAAGTAAATCAGATAAAGTGCAGGGGAGGATGACTAAGAGGAACTGTGCCAAAGTCATCTGACATCTTTGGTAAGACTGAACTCTCTAGACAAGGGAGAGGTAGCAGAGACCTCAGGTGAACTTCAGTAATGTTGTAGTACCATGTGGGAAGCCACACTTAGGAAGGAACTGCAAAGCACCTAAGGAACTAGGAAGAGGAGACACAACTGATTGTGTCAGAAGGGGGAGAGGGGAGGAGAACTACTGCAGCTCATCAATGTTGAAGCCAGCGAGCAGTCTTAGTGCTTTTGCTAACACTCTCTATGTGGAAAATGGGAATTTGCTGACTTGTACTGTTGGCAGTTTCCAGTGCTGCTGAGGAGCAGAGAGGGTAGGTGGGGTGTGCCACATAGGACTCCTCTCCCTGTGATCCCGGGAAGCATTGGGGACACAGCTGTGCACCTCCAAAGAAGATGCTGACCTGCCTGTATCTGATGATCACTTTCCTGGCACACAAGAAACATCCTATCCTCCCCTCCTCCCCGCTCTAAAACTGAGCATGGCAATGACTCAGAGGAGCTTTCTCTGTATCTGGGATGGACCAGGTTGGCCTTTCTCACATGATCAGCCCTGCTTGCGGCAGAGCAGCCCCAGGCAGCTGGGGAGCCAGTGCTGTCCTCCCACATTACATAATGCAGGATGTCACTGCTGCAGACATTTCTTAAAGACTCACTCACCACGATATGACGTACTAAGTAACATGCAGCAAAATACAATTCCCGGTGGGGGGAACAAACACATGCTGTGTGTATTCTCAAGGTATGGTTAATGAAATACAGCTCTCAGCATCTCTGGGGCTGCTGGCAGCTGCTGTGTTATGAATACTGTCACAGCTGTAAAAAAAAGTACAGCTCTAAGGGTTTAGGCTTTTCTTCTTTCTTTAAATCACTTGCATGGAAACACTTTCTAGACCTGCTTCTCACTGATTAGCTGAAAACATGAGAGCTAAGTAAGATGCGATCTCCCGCCATAAACTCCTCCACAGAGAACAGAGTGGTGAATCTTGCCTTGCCTGGGCAGGGGTGTGAGGCAGGCACCATGTCCACTCTGCCAGACACCCACAGAGGCATCAGCCCTGCGGGACAGGCTCACCCGCTGAGCCAGCAACCTCTGAGGCCAAATGCTCTTACCATCTCCATGACATCGCTGGCATGACCAGCATCGCAGGCCCTCAATCCACCCGGGGGTTGTTCCACCAGGTGACACCGGGGTCACCGCCACAGCAGCGCATGCAGGGCCCAACTCCCCCCAGCATCCCCGGTACCTGCCGGGTCCTGCCAGGAGGCCGTGCGCCCTGGGCCATGGGGGCTGCCGACCTGGGAATCACTGGGGGTGCAGAGGGGTGCAGGGGGAGCCCGGGGGGTGGCGGCCCGGCGGCCTCACCCTTCTTGAACTCCTCAAGCAGCGTGTCAAGGCGCGTGTCGTTGAAGACGCAGTGGAGCGGGCGGCGGTAGAAGCGGGTGACAGTCTGCAGGGGGGTGCAGTCATCGGGGTCGACAAAAGCCAGGTCCTTGACGAAGAGCAGGTCGACGATGTTGTCGCGCCGATCGCCTTCGTAGACGGGAATGCGGGTGTAGCCGGAGCGGAGGATCTCGGAGACGGTGGCGAAGTCCAGCACGGCATCGGCGCGGAGCATGAAGCAGTCGGCCAGCGGCGTCAGCACGTCCTCCACCACCTTGGTGCGCAGCTCCAGCGCGCCCTGCACCATGGCCAACTCCTCCCGCACCAGGTCGCCGTGGGGGCCGGCGGCGCGCAGGGTCTCCAGCAGCCGCTCCCGCGTGGAGAAGACGCTGAGCTCCTGCCGCAGCGCCCAGTCCAGCAGCCGGCTGAGAGGGTAGCAGAGGGGGAAGGCGGCCAGCATCAGCAGCCGGGTGAGGCACAGGGTGCGGGAGGCGATGGCCAGCCCGTGTCGGGAGCAGACCGAGTAGGGC